TTGCTGCTCATTGTTGTCCAATGAAACAATGTTTATATTAAAGACAATGAAAACAAATATAGTGAAAGTGACCAAGTAGGCTATGGGCTATTAAGTGCAAAAAAAGGGGCTAAAGTCACATTACATTGTAACATTACAATCTAAAAACAATGTTTTTTAAAGCAGAAGTTAAATTCACTAAACTAAAAATGAAAATAAATGAGAACAAAAGCACAGAGTTGTGTTACGCTATTTTGATTACCCCATTACAGTTACTTTACAGTCAGTGATAACATAAAAATAGACTTACTTGTAGGTTTAAAATTCTGCATGTCACATTTATTGTCCTACTACTAATATTTCAGCGAAATGTATATTTTAGTCAGAATTATTGCTCTCCTATTTCATTGAGCTCTGTCTGTTTGGCACGCATGCGTGCGGCGGCGCTCGTTCTAAATGAAGTCTGTGGAGTTTAGCGGAGAATCGCAAAGCAAAAGCTCATGCACTTCTGACAGCAAAATGGAAATATTTCCATGGCTTTTTTAACATTTACAGATGGAGAATATACCTGTGAAATGTAAGTTACACATTAAGGAAAACAGCACATCTCAAACACATTAAACCGTGCGTCTCTGTAAGCCTCACACCCAGCCTTTCTGTCAGAGCATCTGATGGGGCGAGCGCGAGCCGCTTTGAACTGAAACTATAAACTATAGGCTACTAGGAGAGAAATAAAACGCAGAAATTATTTAAATGCAAAACCAAAAAAAAACGCTCTGATTGGTTGAACTCTTCATCTTTTTCTGTTGCTTGTTTTGAATACTGCTCATGGACAGAGGCGTCACTAGATTTTTGCATAGTTTAGAGTGACAAATCGTACCAGCGTACTTTGAGGTCAAAATGCATAGCCGCAACGCAAAATGCGTACAGGTTGGCAGGTCTGGAATTCACACCATTAGGCTCACACAGCTTCATCATAATATGTGGTTTCATCGCAAAGCATTGGCAGGGCTATGATGTTTCGTTATCCATTTCAGCATCACTTTTCACCAATCAGCTGCTTTCGATCTCCATTGCCTACCTTATAAAAAGCAAATGCTAAGAAAAAATACATAAAATAAATGTTTTAGCAGCAATTTAATCATTTTTATGCATGCAATCATGTGAACATGTCTATCCACAGCGTATGTGTTTTCTCAACCTCTCGTGTACCCTTGTCACTCTCCATGAGATCATTAAATCGTAGATATATATAGATCTCCAGCAATTCTCATTTATTTACATATTGCGATCTTGTTATTTTTTGAATCCATAACGCATAGGTATTGGCAATAAAATACTACAATATAAATGCACTTTTAATTAACTGCTTATCTGTGGGGGTTCAGGAGGGGGAGTCAGGAAGCACCTCTCTCAAGCCTCTTACTTCAAAAGGAAAAACTTTGAAGCTTCATATAGCCATATATGAACTGGTTTAGTTTATCTCCAAATGGCCACTTCATTATTGCACATGAACATGAGCCAAATAGATGGATGGCCAATTTTGTCTATGTCAACTCCAAAATGAAATATATAGTATAGATGCAGATGGCTATTTCTGTTGTTCCCATCTCAGTCATTAAGATAAATATGAGGCTGCTTTTAAGTGGTAAGCAGTATAAAATAACAAAGACCTGTTATGGATCTGAAGTAGTGGATATTTTAAAACTATAATAGTGAATGAGAACCTGCTGTGCACTGAGCTACTGAAGAATACATAAAGCTGAGCCTCACATCACTGCTGAATGATAAAAAGCAGGGAGAAATCAAAGAAAGGGAGAATGTTTAATGTATTTATAAAACAAAAATGAAATATATGCATTTAAACCATGCAACAGTAGAAAAGTGTCAAGCAGAAGATTCTGCTATGCCCCTGTACAGTATTTCTGTGATGTGCTTGATGAAAATCCAAAACCATGAGAAACAATAGTGTATAGTGACGCAGTCATATGATTCTAGCGTAGACCATCTCCTTTATTATAATTTATTTAATTTATAATTTATGCATTTAGCAGACGCTTTTATCCAAAGCGACTTACAGTGCATTCAGGCTATACATTTTTTACCAGTATGTGTGTTCCCTGGGAATTGAACCCACAACCTTTTGCGCTGCTAACGCAATGCTCTACCAATGAGCCACAGGAACACATTATTATTATAACAGCAGAAAATTTGTTCTGATGTGCATATGCATGAGACGTGTTTGTAAAGCTGTTCATAATTACCAAGTATCAGTTATACAAGCACCCTATAACATAGATGTGGAAACGGTTTACTGTGCTGCTGAAAAATTCAATACCCTGAATTGCTCACATTTGTGGCTGTCCTCTCTGAACATGGGCATGCTTGAAAGGTCATGAATGGTGATGAGAGGTGATGTTACCTGGATCATGGGCTCAGTCAGCTGATCCTCGTCCACCTCTAAAATCATTCTCCTGATCTCCTCATAGGGCATACGGAACGACCCCAGGAAAATGGCTAAGGTAGCGAGAGAGGCAGAGTTTACATCAAAAACTCCCTGCAGTAATTCATCAACAGGCCACACACACTCTTTGTCTTGTGTGCATGTGTGTATGTCCACTGCATGGTGATAATATCTGATAAAAAGAAAGAATGAGCTTGACGTCATCTGCATTTGAAACTCACTTCAACTAGTCGAGACGAGGGCCAGATGAGGCAGTATCAAGATAACATTCATATATCAAGACAACAGGGTTTTCACCTCTGCCTGCATTTGTCACAAATACTCACAGTTCCTGAGCTAAAATCCGATTTCAGAAGAATGGCAATAAAGGGAAGGTGAGAGAAGGAGTAAGTGAATGACAGAAGGGTGAAAAAGGGTGAGGGACAGTGATCCGACTGGCGGGGTGTTCAGCTGGGACAGGAACATTTCATTTCTCCCTTTCCCTTTTATTACAGATCTTTGTTTATTGCCACAGAGACACTCGGACAAATGAATTAGTGTGAATACATGCAAATGAAAAACAGCGAAAAAGTAAAGAGGAAAAGCAGTTTAAATGTTAAAAACAGATGCAAAGAGAAGTGTCTGTGAAAGATGGAAAGAGAGAGAGAAGACGTTGTATAACAGCACAAGACAGGTGTTATTGTGTACCTCAAGGTTCTGAGAAAGAAAAAGAAGGAAGGCCGCAAGGAAAAAAGGACACCTGAAAACTTGTTTTGATTCACATACCTTTCTGCACAGTCAGAACAGTAGGGAAATACGTTTTTAATACTGTTTCCAAAACAACATGAAAATCATCAAAAAAAAATAATAATTAAGAGAAGACAAGTCTAAAAGCTTACTATTAATTTCTGCTCATCTGCACTATGTTTGTCATTGTTGGTCTATGCACATGCTATACTTTTTTTAAATGTGTGTTATTGCATTTTTGAGACAGAAGCTCAAGTTCGTTGCCCCACTTTACCCTAGCAAATGTTTAAATTGATTAAAAATGATTAAAAAACAGCAAAATAAACGAAACAAAAATTTGATTACCAAACAAAACAAAATCAAACCAAACCAAAACAAAACAAAACAAAAAAACAAAGACTACTGGATAATACTCACAGAGATTCTGTGCTATCTTCGGGTCCAGCACCTTCAGTTCTTTGACTCTCTTTTTGATTTTCTTCTCCTCCAGTTCCTCTTCTCGTCGAGCTGAAAATCATCATCAACATAATTTATTACCACACCCAAGTACATGTATGCAGAAAACAAAAAATACCAGTGTGAACAAGCAGATTCACACACAGACAGTCACAAAACTGACAGTGCTTGAAGCATACTAATGGGCTACAACAGTAGGAACACATCAGTCCGTGCTTAATTTTTCACCATTACTGTTAATCACATGTGGGAAAGAAACTAGCATTTCATCTTAAACACCACTGAACAGAAAACACTGAATAATTAAAGAGCAAAGTCTTAAGGAAAATGCATTTAATAAGGACCCGTGGGGTTCTGTGATATGTTGACCTATCGGGGTCAGATGATGAGCAGGATGGCATTGTGTAAACATGCTATGTTGACGAGACAGGAGGAGGAGAGTGATGTAACGTGTGCTGAATGGAAAATTGCACACTTTCAAACACCCATAATGCTCAAGAAATGCTTTGATTTGAAAATGTCCATGATAGCCAAAAACAATGTGTAGCTTAAATGTAAACTTGTCTATGATGCCCAAAAACGCTGTCTAAGTACGTAGATTCGATTCGAACATGTCTATGGTGCCCCAAAACACTTTCTAGGTAGGTAGCTTCAACTGAGCTCATCTATGACACCCAAAACCGCGTTCTAGGTAGGTAGCTTCAATTTAAATTTGTCTATGATGCCTAAAAACACTAAGTAAGTAAAATTAATTTCAACTTGATTTCGATGTCCAAAACTTCTGTCCAGGTAGGTAGTTTCAATTTGAACATGTCCAAAAATACTGTCTAGGTAGCTCATTAGGTTTTGAGGCAGAGCCAATGAGTGTGTAATGGTCATGCTGAGAGAGTAAGGGGATTGGTCTTTGGCAAGACAGCTGTGAAGAATGAGATTAGAGCCACACAGCTGTGATGAATGCAGTAAATGGGGTCACACTCACACATACTCGCATACACACTGTATGCATTTAGCTTGCTATGCATGGAGATTTTAGGAAGGGAGGTAAATATTTTGATATCATCTTTCTCTGTCTTCCGTGTGGCTTTTAAAACAAATAAAACTTAGGAGGCAACGCAGAGGTCATTGACTAACAGGTTAAACAGCTCCCTCTTCAGATCTCAGAAGAGAGATAATGAGTGATGAATAAAAAAAGAGAAAAGAGATGAGGAGAGGAGCAGATGGAAAGCAAGGGGTTTCAATACAAGTTTAATTATTTAAGACACCAGATTAAGAGAAGTAAACGCAGGTCTCCGGAGAGAAGTGCATAATTGTCTTGTGCACTAATTAACACGGTTGTCTGGATACCAACTTGAAAAACACAGGAGCGGGGTTAATCTACAGGAAAAGAGCCCTATTCACTAGTGCTGTGTTCAAAATATCGATACGACGATGCATCGTCACAGAGATTTGACGATACGAGTATCGATACAGCTGGCCCCGTATCGATATTGTGGCACGTGTGCAGCAGTGGACCACGCTTAATTTGTTTAAAATTTTACAACGTTTAAAATTGAGTAGAAAAGTGCAAGGTTTCTAAAAAAGAATGAATAGAGCATATATAGGCTACAACAAGGTTTAATCTGGCCGCAGAGGAACACAACTGCCTGATATAAAGAGACGTAAACCCCAAAACAGAGCTTTACACTTGCGCAATACGGAAATATCTGCTAAGTGTGCTACTTATCTTTGTCAACCTGGCAACCATGTGCACACGCGCTCTCTCTCCACTGTGGATAAACGCGCTTGCTTTCTGAAAACAGCGGTTAGCTTGCAGTTTAGCGATCTCCACTTCAATATTCTATCCTCAGAAAAGTGAGATTCATCAACTGTTCATTTACGACAGAGAGAGAGAGAGGCTGTGTATGTATGAATTACCACCGTTTTGCCGCGTTTCTCTATTAACAGTAAAGCTGTGGCTTTAATTGCTTTAGAAACAATGATGCTACCAGCTCCTTGTTGAGAAAGATAATGTAGCTCTTGAGCGATTAAGCAATTTAGTTGATAAAACTGCAGGGCAGCGCTAAAAAGTTTGTTCCTGAATGTCTGAGTGCGGCCGCA